CTATCGCATCTCACATCAAACCTCCACTATAATTCGCCTATGACTCAAGCCCAACAAGTCTTATCCTATTTCCACTCCTATAGGATTTATTTTTAATAAGCCCCATTTCTCCTTACAGGGTCTCCCTCATGACTTTCCAGTCTAAGGAATCAATCCAATCACATATAAGACATATTATAACAGTTATTTTATTACAGATAATCAGGCAAAGTATTATGTTTTGTTTTTCCTCATATGCCTATTTCTTCTCAAGCTTATACCCGGATGTCATTCCACGAGGGACAACGGTAGGCTTCCGTTATCCCCGGCAACGGCGCCACCTCCATTGCCTGCACCTAGCTCACACCGAGTGGAGGGGGAGGCGGTGGAAAAGGATGTGGCAGGAATGGCGGCGGCCGAGGAGGTCAATGGGACAACCAAGGCTACCAGGGTCAGGGAAATCAAGCCAACCAAGGAAGCCAGGGAAGCGGGAGAACCCGTTTTGATTGGAGGGTCCCGCGCTGCCTTGTGCGGTGCCGGACCGATGGGCTCGACAGGTGGCGTCGTTGACGGGGATAACGAAAGCCTACCGTTGTCCCTGATGGAACGACATCCGGGTATAAGCTTGAGAAGAAATAGGCCTATCTGATTTTTGCATCAAAAAGTTATGGGATGGCTACTGAGGGACTAGGAGTGTTGTCGCGTCGTTTATTTAGTGTCGTTCTGTATAAGTATATGTGTGTGTGTGCGTGTGTTTTTATTTTTATGTTCTTTATAGTGGTGTGCGCGTGGTGTGTGGGATGCGTCCTAGTCGACCGGCGCAGAGTCGCGCTTGGGACCTCAGCCCCCCAAGATGTCGGTTCGCGTGCGGGTTCGATACAGGCATAATACTGCGCGTACCCCCTATGCTACAGCGAACGAGAAACGCCCTCGGCTGGTCCACCTCTACGATTGCAACTGATCAGCTTTCGTACTGTGGACTGGTAGTTCGGCGGGGATACGCCCACCTAAGGGAGGTGACAGCTCCCGTAAGGTGGAGGTAAGTCGTGCCTCGCGTAGGCCCTATCCTGTCGTAGGGGCTCGCAAGAGGTATGGCTGGCGCACTCGACCAGAGCGGCTTGCGGAAGCTCCATTATGTATTCGCGACGAGGATCAGACCAACTCCTGCGTGACGCGGCCGGGAGGGTCCCACGCTGCCTTGTCTGGTGCCGGACCGATGCACTCGACACCGACAGGTGGAGGATCAGAGGGAGGATCAGCAGGTGGAGGAGCGGCACGTGGAGGAGTAGCACGTGGAGGAGGAGGAGGCGGTGGAGCGGCACGGGGAGGGTGTGCAGCATCTTAGTGCGGTGTGAGCATTTTATGGTCCCAGTCGGCAGTCGCCTCTAGTCGGACAGCACGGAGCACATCCCGACCGTGTATGGGATTCCCTCGCCTATCGTGCTCAGCGAGGCAGAGGGAGGTCCGCTACGGGACGTGGGAGATGAGGCGCTGCACGCGCTGCACGAGGCACAGGGCGAGGGAGGTCCGCTTCAAGACGTGCGAGAGGTTGGCCACGCAAGGACAAACAACCCGTTGCGGCACCAGCGGCAGAAGAGCCGAATGACGACTCCGGGGAGAGTGCACCGCTGCATAGGTCGAAGAAGAGGAGGACAAAGACTGCTGCAGAGGGAGAGACACACACACACACAGAGAGAGAGAGAGAGAGAGAGAGAGAGAGAGAGAGAGAGAGAGAGAGAGAGAGAGAACCTGTTGTCTTCCACATTCCGGACCACTGTGCTTCCTGCTTGTCTTTAACTGAGGCCTTGAAAAGCTGTTTTGAAGTGTTTTTGTATTGTGTTCTGTTTGTATGCTTCCGTCTCCGTATGTGTGTCAAACAGTGTGTGACAGCCTGTCACAGTCTGTGTGTGTGTGTCAAACAGTGTGTGTGTGTGTGTCAAAGAGTCTGTGTGTGTGTCAAAGAATCTGTGTGTGTGTCAAACAGTCTGTGACAGTTTGTCACAGTCTGTGTATGAGTGTGTCAAACAGTCTCTGTGTGTGTGTCAAGCAGTCTGTGTATGAGTGTGTCAAACAGTCTATGTGTGTGTGTCAAGCAGTCTGTGTATGAGTGTGTCAAACAGTCTGTGTGTGTGTGTCAAGCAGTCTGTGTGTGTGTGTCAAACAGTCTGTGTGTGTGTGTGTCAAACGGTCCGTGACACTCTGTCACAATCTGTGTGTGTGTGTAAAATAGTCCGTGTGTGTGTCAAACAGTCTGTGTGTGGGGGTGTCAAACAGTCTGTGTGGGGGGGTGTCAAACAGTTTGTCACGGTCTATCACAGTCTGTGTGTGTGTCAAACAGTCTGTCAGAATCTGTGTGTGTGCGTTGCCACATATGTGTGGCTGTTGGGGGGGCAACACACACAGACTGTGACTGACAGTCTATCATGGGGTGGGGGGGGGGGGGGGGGGTGGGGGGGGGGGAGCACACACACACTGTGACCGACAGTTTGTCACAGTCTAGAGGGCAGTCGGTCACACAGACTGTGATAGACAGTCTGCCACACAGACTGTGACAGACAGTCTGTCACATAGACTGCGACAAACTCTGTGTGAGTTGGTCCCTGTTGCAGTCTGTGTGACAGACTGTCTGTCACAGTCTATGTGGCAGACTGTCTGTCACAGTCTGGTGGGCAGCACACCGACTGTGACAGAGTCTGTCCGGCTGGGGCACACAGACTCTGTCACACTCTGTGTGTGCTGCCCACCAGACTGCGACAGACTGTCGGTCACACAGATTGTGACAGACAGACTGTTGGGCACAGTCTATGTGTGCTTCCCAACGGACTTTCTGTCACAGTCTGTGTGTGCTGCCCAACAGACTGACTGTCACAGACTGTGTCATAGTTTGTCACATATGGGTTAGTCTGTTGGGCAGCACACACAGACTGTGACAGGCAGTCTGTGTGTGCTGCGTGGGGGGACAGAGAGGATCTACTGGGGGGAAGTACAATTGCAGAACAGAGAACCCCCCCCCCCCCCCTCTACCACATCAGACACCGGGGAGGTTCAGGGGCACTACCTATGCCCCCCCCCGACCCCTATATTAAAAAAAAAAATAAAAAAAAATACGTTCGCGTTCGCTGTTCGTTGGAGCCTATTCGCGTTCGGGCGAACATGTTCGTGTTCGCCGGCGAACGCGAACGGGGTGCTACGCAGGTTGTGACTGTGACATATGTTTCGTTGGAGTTTCATTGATTGTATATATAAATATATATATATCTGCATCGCACGGCGAGCGTGTTCGCGCCCCTTCACGTTCGCGCGAACAGCTTGCGAACATGTTCGGACGAACATAATATTTTTCTGTTATATATATATTTCAGGTATTGATTTTTAACTTATGATTGGCTACGAATTTGACAGTACATGTTATGACAGTCAACTTACATTGGACAGCTTCTAAAAAGAAAACAGAAACTATTTTGGACAAGTTTACCAATACCTGTTATGATAGTCATCTTACGTTGGAAAAAACTAGTAGTGGTAATCAATGGTCGTACCTAGGATGCCGAATTTTGGTGGGTTGTGAGTCTGTTCGAGCTACGTTGCATAGAGTACACGTACGGGGGTTTCCCGTACTAAACGTACAGGTTATTTATGTACGGGATCTGTACATGAACCTGTACATCTTGTACGCCCCCGTACGAAAAAAAAAAAAAAAAAAAAAAAAAAAAAAAAAACGTCATCAAAAAAATCCGAAAAAAAACTATGTGATGCAAAAACACAAAACAAGCAACATTTGGCTGAGCATCATCTTCAGACTCTTAATAGAATTTGAGGAAACAATATATAAACAATATCGAATTTAAAAAAAAAAAAAAAAAAAAACTCGTACGGGGTCCCTAGCGTACGAGTACAAGAATACGAATCCTTACTCGTACGAGGGTGCGTACAAGTGGCAACGTAGTGTTCGAGTATACTGGCAGGCTATGCATAAGAAACAAGATAGCTTGCTTGAAGGTAAGTGCCTTATTTTTCAGAATTTGCAGGATTACCGGTCATATTGCAGCAAGAAGCAGAAGGTTGCCATTTTCATTTTTTTTCTGCACAGGGCCTATGCAATGGGCACCTTGCCTGCTGCGGAGGCCTCTTTTCTTTTTTCCCTGAAAATGGAGCTCAGACAGCGAGGATTTCCTGATAGCTACTTCGACAAAGTCCTCTTTAATTTTAATGTGAAAATAGGGGGTGCCTGGTCTGTCTGGGTCCAGTGTTTTGCTAACTGGGTCGGTTCAGATCTGGACTGTAGCCTTTCGAAATTGGGACAGTAGTTTTTTAGCTCTGGTTTATCGCTTGGACACTGTACTTGGGATTGTTGTCCTCATCGGTCCAGTCCTGTTTTTGTCTGATGATCTTTTTTTTTGTTGATGTAGGATATAAGACAGTTTTCGATCACTCTTTCTGATCTCACCAGCGCTTGTCCCTGATGATGGCCGGTGTCTGGCGGCCCGACCGAAACACGTGTAGGGTAGTCCGTTAGTCGCGCTTCAAGATCATGGCGCTCTGCGCCTACTTTCCGTTGTGCTTCATTACATATCTTTAATTGATGCGCTCGACGATATCTATGCTCGTCCTTCTTCTCTTTGCCTTCTTCTTCTTCTCTTTTCTTCTCTTCTTGTTCTTCTTCTTCTTCCTCTCTTTTTCTTTTTGGTCTTCGTTTCTTTGTCAAAGTGTTGTTGCACTTGCATGTATTTACTTCACTGTGATACGCACACAGAGAACCGTCGGGGGGATTGATCGCCTGGTACGAGTGACTGTGCGCACACAGAGAACCGTCGGGGGGATTGATCACCTCGTACGAGTGACTGTGACCTTTGCCTATTTGCCTATTTATCTATCCACCTCTGTCGATCTGTTTGTTTATCCCTCGTTCGGAGGTACTTTTTCAGTCTACTTTTATTTTTTTCTTTCATCCTTCTCCCATCCATTTGCGCTGTGGAGGTAGTTAGAGCTCTTGCCCGGAGTTTTGCCAGTACGGGGACGACATTACTCCTCTTTCGTGATGTTTCGGCCTGGTGTGTGCCATTTTTGTCATCTTCCTTGACATTTTATTCAAGAATGTTATTTTCGTCATTGCCCGAATGGGGCAGAAATAACTGTCAATATTCAAGGCGCTATGAGTGGCGGTTCGCAAGATGATGGAGGTGGTTTGCTTCCGGCACCAACCACGTCTACTTCCTCACAGTTGGCAGGTAATTCTGGAGTTTCGAATGCTCTTGTGCCGTACCAGGCGCCATCAAGTAGAAGTGCGAACGATGGTGCGAACAGCTACGACGGATATGCTAACTATGGGAGTAATAGTGGTTACCAGGGAAATCAAGGCTATGGTGGGCAGCGGTTTTCGAAACCTTGGGGTGGAGGTTACAAGGATCGTGATCGTGACGATCGTTTCGATAAAATCTATGGCCTGCGCTCGGAGCGCGCTGAAGAATGGGAACGGAAGAAGCAGGAGGCTGCTAAGTTAGAGCTTCTTGAAGCGGAAAAAAGAAGGCTGCAAGCGGAGGAAGAAAAGAACGTGCAAGCCAGGAAAGAGAAGGAGCTACACGAGGCGAGGCTAGGGAAGATCGTTAGAGGCAGTCTGAAATCTGTTTGTGAGTCGGTTTTTGGGGAAAAAGGTCGATATTCCTGATGAGGATTAGTAGCGTACGGCGTGAGTTAGAGGAATTGAAAGCAAGATGTGGGGGGGATAAGGCAAAATCGAGTTTGGAGGCGTTATGGCGAGAGAAAAACGCTCTTCAAAAAGCCCAATCTATGAACAATGAGGAGGAGAAACTCAAGAAGGAGATTGAGATGTTGAGGGCACACAACGACTCTACCAAGTTAGTTGACGCGGTCTCGGAAAGTTCAAGGAGTGATGAGATTGTTGCGCTTCGTTTGCAGATTCATGAGCTCGAAGGTGTCCGCGCGGCGCTTCGGGATCGCAACAATGAACTGAGCAACTTGAAAAGTGAGAACTCGACACTCAAGAAAGACTTCTTGGATCTCAAAGACGAGATCGTTGAGCTTAAGAACGCTAATAACAAGCAGGCTTCAGAGACTGTCACTGAAAAGAGCCCACCAGCTGAACCTAACACCGGGAAGCAGAGGATGGTTCCTATTGGCGACGTCGTCTGTACTCCTAAGGATCTAGATGCTCTCCATAAGGCATACAAGAAAGCGGAGGCGGGTGAAGAGATTGCCAACAAGGAGTTGCAAGCTCTGAAAGAGCGCATGACGCACATGGGGGCGCAATTACTGACGAAGCAGCGTCAATCGGTTAGAAGATCATCGGGGAGGAAGACAACACCTCGGAATCTGCGGCCTGCACTCAGTGCTGTTCAGATTGAGCCCGATGATTCGGGTAATGAGGAGGATCCTATGAAGACGAAAAACGTCGAAGAGGGTTTGGAGAAGCCCGAGGAAGTTCAGTTAAAGAAGTTGCAAGAAGAGGAGAGGCGATCATTGAGCACCACAAGGAAAGCGGATATGTTGAGCCTTGCGAGAAAGAAGGGATCACCTACCACAAACTGGATCAAGCCAAGGCCGATGTGGGAGAGATCCGTGCCAAGAGAAGATTTGCACAATGGCTCAAGGATCAAGGTCTCGAGGATGACGATGACGATGATCGAGACCTACAGTACGCTACCTCTACGGAAGATGTCAACGACGAGTGAGAATGCGCCCTGAGCGTGTCTTCTTTATGGGACTGGGCATTATTCTTCCGAGATTATCTGAGTTTTTTCCGTTGGATGAGGTCACCTATCTGTTTCGTTTAATTGTTGTTTTATTAATTATCAATAATCAGATTCGTTGGGGTCGTAAATTCCGCGATCTGCTGTTGCATATGAGATTGGTTATGATTTTAGATCTTGTCCGGGTCCTGTTGTATATACTATTATTTCCCAATGGTTTAAGCACTTATATATCGGTTGTACGTCCCGTAGGGTTAGAACCCGATGGAAGGAGCATTCCTCTACTTCGGCATCTTCTAAGTTTCTTCGTCGCAATCGGAAACTTTATCGTTGGATTCGACGTGTTGGTATTGATGGCTATGTCTCTGTCCCCATCTTCTCTTGCTCTTCGGTTCTTGAAATGCTACCTTCTGAAAAAAAGAATATCCACACCTTCACTCCCTCACTCAACTCTTCACTCCACTCTTCCTGTTCTTCCAGATCCCGACGAATATCGAGATGTCGTCCCGGTTGCAAAGAAAGAGCACGACGTAAGAAGCAACTCTTCTCCTATGTCTTGTCTTGTTCTACGTTCCCTCCTTCTTTTCCTTCTCATCCTACTTCTTCTTCTTCTTCTTCTTCTCCACCCATATCTGCATCTTCTATTTCTAATCGCTCTCCTTCTTATCTCTCCCTCTCGACTGGGCACACGTCTATTAGCCTTATTCCCTCCTTAGTAGTGTATCTTCAACAAAGACCCACTTCCCTCTCACTCTCCATGTACCCTCTGGCAATTCTTTCGCAGATAAGTGGAAGCTCATCCGCCGACTCTTCGGCTGTTCGACTGTCTCATCTCCAAACCTTCCCGTTTCCTTACTAAAAAATTGTCGCTCCTGGTTTCGGCCGAGGGCAACTATCCATTTTCATTCTGTTATTCGTTTTTGCTCTAAGTATCTTCCTCTCAAGCAGAAAGTAGTTAATCTTTTATCACACCCCCTGTCCAGGCGAGAACTCCCTCTTTGGTGCCTTGATTCCTTTGTCTCCTCTTACAATGCGGTTCGAACTGTTTCTGATAAACGGTCACGTACTTCTCTACGTATTATCCTCTCGCGGGCTTGTCAGAGGAAGTTTAACTTACCCCTCTGTTATATGGGTAGTACCAATCAAGTTCGACGAGACAATTGTTAAGTCGACTATCCGTCGTGTGTGTCAGCAATGCATATTGAGTCTGGATTTTCCATTACCATATCTTAAGCAAGTGTGTAGTAGAATGCGAATTGTTTGGACAATAAATCAGGCGTTTTCGGATATTTTGTACAATTTTCGTCAGTATGCATCATCTTTTGAGTCGATATGTGCGTGTGATGACATGCCAGCTGAATTCCCTAGATTCAATGATCACGTCTCTTTTAGAATTAGTGAGGTCGACTTTCTTCCCTGGGTATGGAGCTCACACGAGATCTTTAAGGAAACAGATCGTCGATTCCTTTCAACATTTTTTTTATGTCAAAGATTAAATTCTCATTTAGGGACTCGAGTACTGTTTTTCAGGCGGTGGGAGACGCTGCGATGGTTTTCTTATTGAAGAAATTCTAGCATGGAAAGGTAAGTTTGATGGGCTAGTACGATGCCCTTTGGATCACAATACCGGTGATACTTTTGTTTGTTGTCCGACCATTTATGCTGGAGGACTTCGTAAGTTGTTTACCGAGAATGTAGGATTGCTGGTTGCTCAGAAGAACGAGGCTGATATCATCCAGGAATGCAAATCTGAGTACCTGGCTAAGAAGCTTCAGTCTTTACCACCATGGGTTGCGTCAAGGAAATTGGGTAGGGCTTATGTCATACCAAAGCATAAGGATGTAACCAAGTGGAGACCCATTTGTCCCTTTTGGAATGAGCCATCTACGAAGTCAGCTATAATAGTTTCTTTGTGTGTCAATGATTTTCTCAAGCGATTGCCATCTAATTGCCATTTTAATTTGCATTGCACTCAGTCTCTATCTGCTTTTTTATCTAGGATAAACCAGAATTTAGTCTCGAGTGATAACTTGATCGCTAGTAGTTTTGATGTCAAAGAAATGTTCTGCCAACTACCGCACTCTTCCATCATCAGTGCGGTAGAATGGGCAGTCAGTTTTTTCGAGGAGAAAGGTTTCTTTAAGAGTCTGGTCTCTATAAGACGCAAGAGTGTTGTCCTTTGCAAGGTTGCAAGATCTCAGGCGGGTTTTAAATCGATTAAGTTTTCTCTTCTCCTTAAGTTCATTGCCTACGACCTGGAGCACACTTATATTATGGCGATGGGCAAAGTCGTGAAACAGAACCTCAATATCCCAATGGGGAAATCTTCAAGCCCGACTTTGGCTTGTCTAATGTGAGTTCACAATGAGTTCACCTTCCTACGAAGTTTGGGTAATGATGCTTGTTTAGTGTTTGGATGTAGACTAGTTGATGACGTTTCTTTCTTTGTCAGATTTCGTAAGCAGCAATGAACTTCTAAAAAGAAATCAGAAGCTATTTTGGACAAGTTTACCAATACCTGTTATGACAATCATCTTACGTTGGAAAACACTAGTAGTGGTAATCAATGGTCGTACCTAGGATGCCGAATTTTGGTGGGTTGTGAGCCTGTTCGAGTATACTGGCAGACTATGTATAAGAATCAAGATAGCTTGCTTGAGTAAGGGCCTTATTTTTCAGAATCTGTAGGATTACCGGTCATATTGCAACAAGAAGCAGAAGGTTGCCATTATCACTTTTTTTTTTGCACAGGGCCTATGTAATGGGCACCTTGCCTGCTGTGGAGGCCTCTTTTTTTTTTCCCTGAAAATGAAGCTCGGACAGCGAGGATTTCCTGACAGCTATTTCGACAAAGCCCTCTTCAATTTTAATGTGAAAATAGGGAGTGCCTGGTCTGTTTGGGTCCAGTGTTTTGTTAACTGGGTCGGTTCGGACCTGGACTGTAGGCTTTCAAAATTGGGACAGTAGTTTTTTAGCTCTGGTTTGTCGTTTGGACACTGTACTTTGGATTATTGTCCTCCTCGGTCCAGTCCTGTTTTTGTCTGATGATCTTTTTTTTGGTTGATGTAAGATATAAGCCAATTTTCGGTCACTCTTTCTCATCTCACCAGTGCTTGCCCCTGATGATGGCTGGTGTCTGACAGCCCAACCGAAACACGTGTAGGGTAGTCCGTCAGTCGCGCTTCAAGATCATGGCGCTCTGCGCCTACTTTCCATTGTGCTTCATTACATATCTTTAATTGATGCGCTCGGCAGTTTCTATGCTCGTCCTTCTTCTCTTTGCTTTCTTCTTCTTCTCTTTTCTTCTCTTCTTCTTCTTCTTCCTCTCTTTTTATTTCTGGTCTTCATTTCTTTGACAAAGTGTTGTTGCACTTGCATGTATTTACCTCACTACAAATTTGAATATGACTCCAAGGCAAAAGTTGCTTGTATTGTTATTTTACATAACATAAATTGTTCGTAAATTTTTTGAGAACTTTTTTTTTTTTTTTTTTTTAATATTTTTTATATTCGCGTTCGGAGGGTTTTGGGCGTTGGTTCCCGTTCGCCTCCAAACGCGAACACGGTGCTACATATGTATGTATATATAGGATTGTCGGCGTGTCGGACGGGCTGTTCGCCCGAACTTGAATGCCTGAACGTTCGGGAACCCCTCTCGACACGTCAGGTCGTTCGACCGAACACGAAAAAAATAAAATAAAAAAAAATCAAAACAATCTGAAAAAACATATGTTATGCAGAAGAATAAAATGAACAATATTCGTCATAACATTACATCCAAGTTCTTTATCAAAATTTGAAATGAAAATCAAATATAAAAAAGATAATAAAAATAAAAATAAAAATAAATTAATTGAGAAACAATGAGAATGAAATTATTGAGTGGGCAAAAAACTCGTTTTTGACATCGTTATCATTGGTGATTTTTTTCATTTTATTTTGGCTTTGACAAGTATCTTAAAAATTTAAATATATATATCTTACATAATAGAGAACCTATAAATAAGATGCGGAAAAATAATAGTTTTTTTCATGCCTCGGCATAAAGGGAAAACAAATTAGTGAGTTGGCAAGCAAGTTTTGACATCACAATCTTTGCAGATTTTTCATTATTTTTCGGCTTAACATTGTGCCTTGAAAATTAAGAGGAAGATACCTTCAAAAACAATTAATGATACATTGAGATGCAAAAATATTTTTTTGCGGGGTCCAAGCTCCTACGGGTTCGGGGTCAATACGGGGACCCGAACGCCCGAACGTTCAGGGGTCAGCTTAGGGGTCTCCGTACGTTCAGCTTGGCAACCCTCTCTCTCTTTCTATATATATATATATATATCGTCACAATGTATATATGTATATATATAAATATATATTTATATATACAGGGTCACCAGCCCGTACGTACGGAGGTCGCCGGGCCAACTTCCGTACGTACGAGCGTTCGAAGTCTCGTTCTGAGTCTGAACTCGAAGGCGTTCAGCCCCCTCCAAAAATTAATTCAGAGCTCAAAAATATGTATATTTTTTTAATGTCTTTTTGTGAGTTTTCTTTCATGTGAGGTACACGGCTATAAAATTTGAAATCGTTCTGATAAACCCACCAAACATTAAGAATCGCTGAAGATGGCGGTGTCTAAATGTGCTCACCCACTCACTATTTTGTTTTTTTTCAATTTTTACTTTTTTGTTTTCACTCTATTGAGGGGCCTAAACAATTTTATCATTTTTTGAAATTTTTTTTTACGCGCTTTGTATTATATGAGGTGCACATTTTTCAATTTTCAGGGCATTTGGTTGTGCCTAAACAAAATGAAAAATCACCAAAAATAGCAGTGTCAAAAATATGCTCGCTAATTTTAATTCTTTTTTTCATATTTTTTTATTTTTTTTACTAGTTTTATTTTCTGTATTTGATTTTCATTTACAATTTGGCTACGTTACCTAATCGGATGTCCAGGACCCCCCCTGACCGTCCGGGGTTGTCCACTCGGACAACTGGTCGCACATCCTCCATCGGCAGACAGTCCGAGCCCAACCGGTTAAAAAAAAAATAAAAAAAAATTGTAAAAAACTATATTATGCAGCAACATCAACTAAACAACGTTTGCCTTACGATGATATAGAAATTCGTTGTCAGATT